TGGTCCTGTGGCGGAGGGCGCCGGGTCGTGTCGTGTCGCCCTAGCAGCCCCGGAGCGGGCGGACCCCCGGCCTGGCCGGGACCGGGGCCTCCAGCTGTGAGTCCGGGTGGGCCGCAGCTGCGGGAATCCCGCTGCGCGGTGCCTGCTGCACCTGCTTCAGACGTTGCTCGAATACGAGTATTTGCGCTGCTTTAGTGGAGACCTGAAGCTGCAAAATCACGAAGAACCCCCGCCCAGTTGCCAGGAAGAGGAGCGGTCCTGGCACAAAAGCCTCGTTGCAATTTTAGCCACCTAAGGGCCCAAAGCTGATTTCACCAAAGTTCATTATAGATTGCCCAAAGTCATGGAGGAACTTGGGTTTAACAGGGTGCTGGAGGTATTGCTCCTGCATCCCATCTGAGACATCACTTTTACCGGTGACGCTCACAAGACCCTTCTTTTTCCTTTATGGTGCTATTTCTGGATCTGCCTCCTGTTTCTGGCCTTGAATGGAAGAAGGTTCATCACAGACAACCTGCTGTGCCCATTCGTCTTCCCAAAGGCTTCTGGAGGGTGCCCGTACACAACATCCTGCCAGAACTTAAAAGCATAAAACTCATGTTCTTCTGTGTGGGGGCTCAAGGAAACCATTATAGAAACCACTGTGTCTGTGCAATGACAGAAACTGCTCTTCAAGAGTTGGAATTTTCCTCAGCCATATCACTCAGAAACAAAGGAACACAATGTAGTCCTTAAAAAACATACTAATTACCTCTAAAAAGTGCTGTTAAAAAAAAAAGTACCTTAAACAGGTACCAAGAACTCAAGAATTTTCAGTCTTACTGCAAATTAGCAAATGTAAATCAGTCTAATGTCTATTTATCTTCAAACAAAGACTTCCTTTAAAGTAACTACAGCTGCTAACTAATTCTCCATTAAGAACCTGAGGATGAAACTCAGGTGAGAGTGAGACCAAATTACAACCTGAGAGAAAGACAGAAATTTGTTAAGATGGAAAAATGAATACTACTTCAGTATTGTACAGTTTTCATAGTTACAAAAAAAGTATAATGTCTTCAAATGTTCGTAATTTGAGATACTTAAACCAAGGATGGAAATCTCTTCAATTTTATGGATAATGTCAACTTCACTAAAATAAAATTATTTTAAAGAAAAAATTTCACTATAGGTAATTGTTTTTAAGTTACATAATCCGTCAGTGTTTTAAAATGGAACAGGACTACATGAATCTCCGTGCTGATGGTGTTTCAAATATTCAAGAACGGTAATAAAAATTTGTTGGAGAACCTTTATTTTTATTTTCTCTCTTCAATACCATCTGCCAAAAATCTTTCTATAAGCCAATTAAAACAGGAAAGGATTTTTAAAAGATAATTAATCAGAGGCAAACACAGCACAAAGCTCAAACAAAAGATTATGGATGCAAAAACCTAACTGAGTTTTTTCAAAGATTTTCCAAAGTGGCTGTCTCAGGCTGCAGGCCTTAGACGAGTGGGCCTGTTTTAAAAAATAATGGCCCAAAAGAACTGCCATCTACAGCTGCCTGGGTGCATAGCAACTGTGAAAATCAGGTCACCTGTCTGGTCCCAAACTCATTATTTGCTTTTCACCTGCTTTTCACCTGGCCATTTTACCCAGGCAGAGCAGCATGGAAGCACAGAAGTTACTGCATGCATGTAGAAACCTGCCAGAACACAACAGCTTTCCAAGCTGGGGAACTAAACATGAATTAACCTAGATTTGACACAAATATATATGGCCTAAATCTGACATATATTCTAAAAAACTGAAAGGAAATAATTTTAGAAAAGTGCTGTTCTTCTGCATGGGGATTTTTTCCTAGTTCAAAAGAAACCTTGTACCTGAAGTCCTAAAAACCATGCAAGTCCAGACCACCATCTGTTATGAGATGGTTAGCCCTGTGTATTTTTAGTAATTTTAGTGTATTTTTAGCTTTACTTCCTAAGAAGACAAAGCATATGTCCCCAGGTTGTCCGTGTGCTGTCCTTCTGCCAGGCAATACCATGATACTTTCTCCACCCAGTAGCTCCTAAAACTGTAGCTTAATTTCAGCCAATTTTTCTGCCAATTTTGACAGAAGAAAGATGTCAAGGTAATGAAGTTCCAACAAGTTTCACTAAGGTCAGCCAGCTCTGGGCTGGTAAGACCCTGTGAACATCCTGTCTCCCTCCACCCCTGGCCCCAGGCAGATGTTTGGGGATGAGCTCAGAACATCAGAGGTACAACACTGACACACTTGCATAGGGCACCAGGCTTCTTACAGCACCATTTGTGTAAAACCAGGCCATGTAGTTTAACTGGTCTTTTGGGAAATCTGAACTTGGACACTATTTTTATGTCATATTAGAAAATCTAGTTTATTACTGAGCAGTTGTGTTCAATGGATGAGACAACCATTATATTGTAAGTAACTGATGCATGCTGTTTTCAGCCAAGATGTAGCTTAATTTACTGGTGTTTTTGTTTCTGTATGGAAGGCATTTGTATTTTACAATTGACATAAAATTCTTTAGCTGTAATTCTTCTGTAAATTTTCTTTTGTGCTATGCTGTTCTTTCTGAAAGCTCCCTCCCAACTACAGATTAATCTGCTGCTTGTAATGAATACAGAAACTTCAAATGTGTTAGTAACACTTCATACTTATTAATTCAGCAGTTGTCTTGTAAACGTAAAAGCAAACCTTGTTAATAAATCACCAGATATTGTGAAAGCTTAAATACCTTTGACCAGACTTGCAACCAGCCTGCCAGAAATCCTACTGTTCTGTCAAGTTGTATTGAATTCTCCTGAATCTTTTGCTATAAAAATAAACAAAATGATATATTGCCTCAAAGGGAAGGGAAGCATTCACTGTCAGACTTGTCAATATTATCTGCTGCTCTTGCCCTGAACAATTGTCCAGTGCCCTTAATGAAAAATTAATAAATTGGAGTTAAAAGGAGATGGGTAATACCACACTGATCTTTCCTGTTTTCTTCAAATAAAGATATACTGCTTAGCGTAATTCCCAAAGCAGATGAGTTACTGTAACTGCTGCTGTCTTTATGACTCTGTGTGTGCAAGTATAACTGTACCTCTGCATCCTCTCCAGTATTTTTGAATCTTTGGCCAATCTCAGTTAAATTCACCAGAGAAGTTAACTTCTGACAAGTTTCTTTGAATTAGATGATCTTTTAGAGGAGAAAGCCCTGAATTAGTGCTCCCACTATGGGGAAGATTTTTCACCCCTTGTTGCACAACTGAGAATCCACACAGGAGAAAATCATTTTGCAAGGACAGGAAAAGCTAAAGCAGAGCTTACGGTTTATTAGATGTGAGGGAATTGAACTACAAGATATGACCTGATAGGAAACCTGGCTTCGTTAGTTCAACTGCACACACAACCATGTGTTTGTTTATTTATTGTGTTGATAGGACCGAGTGCTGGAATTTTAGCTAAGTACAAATGGGCACTGATGCCATGGCATTTAAAAAATTAAAAAAAAAAAAAAAGAGATGTACAGGCTGTTCCTGGTTCTTTGTGTTTGTCTTGCCAGGAAGCTCAAGGACATTATAAAAATATATTTATGCAAGCTATGTTAATTTTTTTGTGCCACGGTACACAATTCAATGTCCTTGATGTAAGACATGAGAGTTGGCAGCCCAAAAGACTTCATGTATGTTGTGTTGACAACAATAGGAATAAATACTCAAGGCTACATTAGATGTAATTCCACAGCGCTGCCTGATTTCTCCACAAAGAGAAATGGTCCTGGGAGTGCCTGGGTATACTTCAAAGAGGAAAAATATATGAATAGTCATAAAAAACATAGGAGTATTTTTTTATAAATGTATATTTTACATATATATGTATATATCCCTTGGGAGTCAAAACTCAGAAAGAGTTAAACTCTTTATAAATATATGTGTGTCTGTGTGTGTGTGTACACATGCATTCCACATCACCCAGTGTATTTTATTTAATAAGTGACTTTTTTTTCAGCTTCCCTATCAATATGCTATTTCAGAGCATTTTAAAGTATTTTAAAGAGTTTTAACATTTCCACCTGCAAATGGCAGTGCCCCTTCCTGAACTCCACAGATCAGTCCCTCCAGTAAATATTGCCTAATACATGTCCTTAGGATGTCTGCAATTTCACATTAAAAAACCCCTTCATTCAGGTGATGTGGTGTGTTCTTCTATCTTTTCTGCCCCTGTTCCGTACTAGCACTTGTGAGCTTATCAACAATTTCCTTTCTGATTTTAACTTTCCATCTAGGCCAATAAGGCTACGTGTACATTAGCAAGCAGTGGGCACCAACAGGCGTGCATCTGTAGGCAAAACGGTGCTGAGGCCATGACATCCATGCTGTGCCCCGCGTTAACTTTTGACTAGCTCCAGTCTCATTGCAGGGGCTGCATGCCCATTTGCGGCTGCAGTGCCTTGGGTGTGCTTCTGCAATGGATCTTCCCAAAGTGCAACTCCTGTCCCAAGCCTGGTC